GTCGGGCCCCCCCCCCCCCCCACCCTGAATTTTTCCCTTTGGTGGTGGTACGTGTCGGCAGTGATCTCGTCGTTCCGGAGGGAGAGCTGGAGGTTAGCACCATGCGATCAGGGGGGTCGGGGGGGCAGAACGTGAACAAGGTGGAGACCGGGGTGAGGATGAAGCACATCCCCACGGGGATCGCGGTCAGGTGCACGCAGGAGAGGTCGCAGATGCTCAACAAGGAGCTGGCGCTCAACATGCTCAAGGAGAAGCTGGTGGTTGTGATGCAAGAGCAGCAGACCAGGGATCTCGCCGAGATCAGGTGTGGGGTTGGGCAAAAGTTGGGGGTGGATTGAGGGAGGGCCAACAGCGCACATCGGCTCTTTGTCTTGGTCCTGTGTAGAAGGGAAAACCCTTTGGAGGCGTCCTCTCATCCGTTGGCCTCCTTTTCATCCGTTGGCGAATGCCTTTGTCGTTTTTATCTGATTGGTGCAAAGGAACAGCCAATGGCACACCTCTAAAACTACCCTTAGCATATTCTTAGTGGGAGCTTCCTCCGAATTCCTCGTCTGAGCCAGTAGGTCCTACCCCATGTCTTGTCCTTCTCATTGAAGCATACAGCTGCGGCTCAGAAGCTGATCACACAGGATGTGCCATCTCTCTCAGGTCCCGTGATTTGTTCCTTGCTGAAGGCAGCCAGCTGCCGGTCGTTTCGTTCATTTTGGGAGCTTGAAGGTCTCAGCAGCTCCTTCTCTCCATGTGTTTTCTCGGTCACCAATTTACTGCTTATTTTTCTTCACTGCTATCTGTTGTAAATAGTGGAAAGACTACTGCTGTATTGGTATCTAATGGAGTGAGGCTCGCCGGGGGGGGGGGGGGGGGGGGGGCCCCCGGTTTTACCGTCCCCCCAGAATTGGCCCGGGGGAAACCCCCACCCCCTTTATTTTACCCTTTTCCGCCCACGCCCCCCTTTCCCCCCCGTTTTAAAACACCCAATATTGAAATTCCTTTTCCCCCCCCCCCCCCCCCCCCCCC